GGGTGATAGCAGTGGTGTATCACTCACCTAGTGCATCTGATGGTGACTTCATTCGATTCTTAGAAGACGTAGTAGAAAGCATGACAATAAAAGGTGATTGTATAATAATCGGGGATTTTAATATAGATGTAAGCGTAGAATCGTTCTACACGAGGAAACTATTAACAGCAATGCAAAACTTAGGGATGAAGCAATATGTGGATAGTCCGACAAGGTCCACGAAAGATAGTCAAACAATTATAGACTTAATATTTTCGAACAAGATATTAAAGACACAGGTCTGCGAAAAACCTAAAATTACCATGGACCATGCTTGGTTAAAAATAGATTTTAATACAAAAGGGAAAAGAAACAAATATAAAGAATTTATAGGTAGAGACTTTAGCAATTTTGATGTAGATGAATTTCTTAGAATTTTGAAGGAAAAAGTCGAGATAAATCAACATTTAGATATTAATATAAAGGCTAAAAATTTCGTTAATAAATTAGTAAATGTACTGGACATTCTGGCGCCAAAGAAAAAATTTAAGATACCAAAAGTCTGGGAGGGAAAGAAATGGTTTTCAGACGAAATCAGAATAGCAGCAGATAGAAGAGATATAGCCTACAGTAGAGCATTGAGAACAGGTTTAGACCAGGACTGGAAATACTATAGAAATGAAAGAAATATAGTAGTGAAACTTATTAGGTCGAAAAAGAAAGAGTACTTTGAGAATGCGATAGATCTTAATAAGGGAGAACCTACAAAGATGTGGAAAACGTTGAAAGAGGTAATCAATGGGGAGCAAGGGGGCGCAGAGGACAGAGAATGTTATGATAGCATAGATTTTGAAATACTTGATGATGTGAAGGACTGTGATACAACGGATAAGTTTAACGAATATTATGTTAAGAGCATAGGTAACATTGTAAAATCTATTGATAGCAAGGGGTTAGTAGTGACAGATAGTAAAACGAATTTTGTATTTGAATGTAAGGAGACTATGGACTCTTTCGAACCAATCACAGTAGGCGATCTGGAACGAATTGTTAATGGTCTCCCACAAAAAAAGGGAACAGAGGAAGGGATATCGAGTAGTATATTAAAAATGGCGCTAGTAATAAAGGACGAGTTTGCTGAAGTGATAAATGATTCACTTCGTACGGGAATATGCCCAGACAGCTGGAAAACATCCACTATAGTCCCAATACCAAAAGTAAAGAATCCAAAGAAAGCGAGTGAATATAGACCGATAAATATGCTTCCAATCTACAAGAAGGTTCTAGAATTAGTTGTAAAAAATCAGTTAGAGGCGTTTCTAGAAAAGAATAATATATTAACTGAACATCAATCAGGTTTTAGGAAACACCATTCATGCGAGACAGCAATACAAGATATAATCGAAGATTGGAAAATGATAATTGAGGAAGGAAAAATGGTTGGAGTGATTTTTTTAGACTTTAAAAGAGCTTTCGAGACGGTGAATAGAGAAAAATTATTAGAAAAATTATATATTTATGGAATAAGAGGAGCTGCGTTAGACTGGATTAGATCATATTTATGTAAAAGAAAGCAACAGGTAAAGTTAGGTGATAATTTTTCTAACATAATTGACATATTAGACGGAGTACCACAAGGGTCAGTCCTGAGCGCTTTGTTATTTATTGTACATATGAATGACTTAGTTAAAATATGTTCAAAGGGTAGAAAAAAGATATATGCAGATGATACGACAGTATATGTGGAGGGTGAAAGTTGTGAGGAGCTTGAGTGCAACATGAATGAGGTGTTTGGTGCTGTCGAAGAGTGGGTAAGATTGAACTCACTAAAATTGAATGTAGATAAAACCAAATACATGATTGTTAGAAGCATAAGAAAAGAGTTAAGGGCAAACATTGTACTAAGATGTCTGGACGGTACTGTGATAGAACGTGTAGAGTGTATAAAATATCTAGGTGTAATTATTGATAGCAGGCTGCGGTGGGAAGAGCATTGTGATTATATACTTAAGAAAATAGGGAAAAGAATTAGTTTCCTAAATAGAATAGGTAACGACCTGTCAGTGTATGCCAGATGTACGGTTTACAAATCAATCATTGCACCACTCTTTGATTATTGTTCCACAATATTAGTCGGTATGGGTGCAACACAACTGGGCAAGCTTCAAGTGGCACAGAATCGGGCCATGCGAGTGATACTCCAGTGCGACCGCCGCACCAGGATTGAGCAGATGCTACAAGCTTTGAAGTTTATGTCAATAAATCAGAGAGTGGTGTATAATGTATGCACCTTTATATTCAAGATAGTTTTAGGTATATTGCCTAGTCAGACAAATAAAATAGAAATAGTAGGTAGTATAAGTGGGAGACAAACAAGGCAAGCTGAAAATATCAGAATTCAGTATCGCAGGACGAGAAGTGCCGAAAAAAGTTTATATTACGAAGGAGTTAAAATATACAACGAACTACCGGCAGAACTAAAATCATGTACAACTATAAAAGCGTTTAGGAGGATGTTGAAAGTATATGTTGTGACGAAATATAAGTAATGTAAAGAA